TATTATATTATATTATTGTTTTAATTATATTTACTAATAGTAATATAGTATAAAATCTAAATGAATAAAATAATGAGATATATAACAATAATTATATTTACTAATATATTTTACTAATGTAATTTACTAATAAATTATATTGACTAATAGTCATCAATAATTATATTTACTAATAGTAATATAGTATAAAATTACCTATCTACTATAATATATATATATATACATTAACACACACAAAAATTAGAACATTTATTCACTTATAAACAGACGTTTTAATATCCATTTGCTGTTTGTAACAAGTTGTTTTTTTTGTTGACATTTTTGAAAAATTTCTGGGAATCATAAGAGTAAAAATCTATTTAACGTACTTTTTTTTTTTTTTTCTTGTTTTTCAACACCTTTTTGTTTTTCAACACCTTTTTGTTTTTCAACACTTTTTTGTTTTTCAACACTTTTTTGTTTTTCAACACCTTTTTGTTTTTCAACACCTTTTTGTTTTTCAACACCTTTTTGTTTTTCAACACTTTTTTGTTTTTCAACACCTTTTTGTTTTTCAACACCTTTTTGTTTTTCAACACCTTTTTGTTTTTCAACACTTTTTTGTTTTTCAACACTTTTTTGTTTTTCAACACCTTTTTGTTTTTCAACACCTTTTTGTTTTTCAACACCTTTTTGTTTTTCAACACTTTTTTGTTTTTCAACACCTTTTTGTTTTTCAACACCTTTTTGTTTTTCAACACTTTTTTGTTTTTCAACACCTTTTTGTTTTTCAACACCTTTTTGTTTTTCAACACCTTTTTGTTTTTCAACACCTTTTTGTTTTTCAACACCTTTTTGTTTTTCAACACCTTTTTGTTTTTCAACACCTTTTTGTTTTTCAACACCTTTTTGTTTTTCAACACCTTTTTGTTTTTCAACACCTTTTTGTTTTTCAACACCTTTTTAAATAAGATTCATCATATTAATCAGTTTGCAAACTCTTTGTTAGTTTAAAATTTAAAGTTCTTAATATGCATTGAAAATGGTGATTAAGTTATTCTTAAGTCTTGGGAGCATTCATTGCATATTAAGAATTACATTGTGTATTAATACCTCTTCTCCTTTTAAATAAAAACAAATAAACACATATGTTTACCCGCAGCTACTGTGTTTTTCCACAATAGTGGATAAAACACTTACTCAGCTGTGAAAACACTTGCTCATCTGTGAAAACACTGCTCAGTTGTAAAAAATACTTAAAAGCCTTTCTTTTTAAAAAAATATTATATATAAAAAAACCAAATAAAATATTATTTTAAAATCTCTTGCATTATTGATGTAGGTTTAAGTAACATAGCGCAGCACACGCTTTCACGATATCATTAACATTATGGAACATTGTTAAAGGAAATTTAAAATTATTTTAGTTTTCATTCTATTAATTACTCTTTCAACATGTATAATTAAACTACCTATGCTTTTTGTTTTTTTACATTCAGATGCAATAATTTGACTTCTAAAATGAGCACTTGGAGGAATGATCAAAGTACAAAACCTTAACAAATGTTCATCCTGGATTTAAAATCCACACCCTGCCATGACTTCATCATCAAATTTTAACAAGTAATAAAAACCATCTTTTGTTATGTAACTTAACATCTTTCCCCAAAACAATCAGAAAAAAAAAAAAAGAGAAATTACATCAAGAAGTCTTGTGTTGTTTATAATCAGACCAAGCTGAGGTTTGCGCTAGGAGAGATTTTGGTTGTTCAATAAAATCTTCGGTAAATCTAAGCTTCTGAAAAAAAAGTATAATAAGTGAGAAGATGACATATAAATAAAGCTTTTGTATATCCCTGTGTAAAAGATCTTTTGCTAAAGAAAAACAATATTTTCTTGTTTGATTAACTAATTGTTTCTTAGTTTGATTAACCAATCATTTCTTAGTTTGATTAACCAATCATTTCTTAGTTTGATTAACCAATAATTTCTTAATTAGATTAACCAATTATTTCTTAGTTTGATTAACCAATAACTTCTTAAGTTGATTAAACAATTATTTCTTAGTTTTATTAACTTGTTTTTGATTTAGAGTTTCAAAAATATAGAGTTAACTTTTTTAACCAGAGAATCAATTAAAGAAGTTTTTGCATCCTTTGCACAAATTTAACAATGACTGACTAGCATATGAATGCTATCAGCTTGATGCCGGTATTAAATATTACATAACTCTCTGCTGTTATTTTCAGTAGTGTAGAATGGTGGGGTGAAAGTTATACTTTTGAAAATTTTTTCCTGTTATACCCCTGGGTTTTTTCTATTTAATAAAATGACACTGGATTTAAAAATTTTTTGCATAAAAAATAAATTAGGGATTTTTAACGGGACCCTAATTTTACCCATTTTGAAAAAATATTAAAATATTTTTTCAAAAGTCAACCTGGTACTCAAAAGAAGTGAAAATTTATAAAAGATTTAAAATAGTAATCATTTTTTATAAAAACTTGTCTAAAAAAATTATAAAAAACTATAAAAAACCTTTTTTTGAAATTGTTAAAAAGAGTCCATTGTTTTTATGCAATAAAATAGAAAATAGTATTTATTCAAAATAATTCTCATTTTTGAAATTTTTATAAAATTTCAAAAATAGTAATTTAAAACTGAAAAATCTAATTTTGGAAAAGGTTTACATAAACTTTTTGGTTTAGTACAATTATATCCAATATGTAAAGTAGGATCTGGAATGGAAAAGGTAGACATTTCACCTACAAAGTGGTTAAAGCTTATCAACAGGCAAGTAGTTTTATGAGTATATAAAAACTTTGAAAGAACTTCTTGACATTAATAAAACCATGGAGTCTATGGAAAAACACTTGTTAGTATTCATATAAAACCCTAATCTCTGCTGGTTATAGTTGACCAAAATGTTTTAGTCAAAAAACATAAATACATTTATAATCTAATATAAAAATTTAATCAAGCTATGCAACAAGTTGAACTAAATACTGTGAGTTCTGCATGAAATGAAGATGACAGACAATACTGCCTTGATAAGAAAGAACACAGTATCTGTAAACTATCCATTTTGCACAATTACTGTTTTCTTACAAATTTTGGCTATATTTACTGCAGATACTATGAAATTATAACATCTAAAACAGATACTTAGAGATCACATAGAGTGTTCTTGCTTACAGACCAGGTCAAGAAAATAATAATGAATAGTATTACCCCTAAGAAAAATCTTGAAAATTGAGTTACTGTGTTCTTTCTTATCAGGACAGAATAGTTAAAAAAACTATACAAGAGCTACAAAGACATACAGAAACCATATGATTCATTCAGCTGTGTATTTTGTTTAATAACAAACTTTACTAAAAATCTTTAATGTTCACAAATTTTGTGATTACTTTTCAAAACTATTTTGAGGAATAGAAAAACCTATACGATAATTAAATCATTGAGAAAAAAAATCTACATATTATAAAACAAAATTTAAGGATTACCCTGGAGACTTAAAAAAGTATGTGCTTTGAGCACATATTTGGATAATTAATGGAGGTTGATATATGTAAATAATAAAAAAAAAATTTTTGCTTAAATTTTCATTTTATTGGATCTATTTTTATGGGTTGTTAGGATTACAAAATAAACATTCGTTGAATCAGACATACCCTAATTTATAGACATTTAAGATTAATATATGTTGGGAATTACAAAAAACATTGATAAAAAATCCTTTTATGATCTCTTTATATCCAGAATTTATATTCAATCTATGAGTTTGTGAACAAAATAACATTATAAGATTACACTCAATTGATCAAAATAAAACATTTTATATTTTAAAATTATCAAAATATATCAAAATTTATCTGTAGATTTAAAATTTCATAAAAATATTAAATTATTTTGTCAAGAAATAATTTCATGTAAAATATGCAATCCCATTTTATGGAGAAAAAAATCAATTAGGTTAATAATGCTTCCATCCTTCATTAGGAATTTTTTTGCCAGAACTTAGAAAAAGCATCTTCATTTAAATGGATCTTCCTAAAATTTAAATTAATATTGAAACGAAATGGAGTTTACAATATACTTCAAAAGTACTCACCAAAGACCAATACTTTAAATCTACCCCTGACCATACAAATTAACTGCTTACACATTTACAATTTTAAAACCAATTTTCAAAAAAATTAAAAAGAATGTTTATTTATTATTTATTTATTCTTTTCATCACCCAAGTTACAGGTAAAAAATAAAAGGCCATAAAACTAATAGTTTATACTCTAAGTTAAAATTCTAATTCGATGAGTTTTTCCGGAGATAATGAACTCGGTTTTTTTCTGTGTTTAATTTGATACAGAGGTTTTCAAATTGCGTTTGAACTTTGTTAATCAACTCTTGTAGTCTAGAAAGAGTAGGACTTTGCAGGATTATATTATCTGCATAAGCAATAATACCAGTGTATAAACCCATTAGAGTCGCTCCAACTTTACAATCGTAAACAATTTGAGTTTCAGTGTAGATGTTGTATAAATGTAGCAATAAAATGGATCCTTGACGCACACCTTGAGACAACCAGAAATTAGTTGATTCATGTCTAAGGTACAATACATTAGCTGTACCCGAGCGATATAATGATTGTAGTACGCGAACTACTGATAGCGGTAAGTTTAGCATTGTAGGATAAAGATTTTTTAAAAATCAATTTTAAATGATTTGTCAATAACAAAAAAATCAGTTAAAATTGATAAAACTACAAGTGCAAAGACATATCTGTAGTCAAAATTATTTGTTTTCTGCCTATTATCACAAGATGTGATGTGGAACAGTTATAAATTTAAATAAATAAAATGTTTAAATAAACTAAATGTTTTCCTACATGATATAAATGTTTTCCTACATTATGACAATTGCCTTTATACATATTCTTGATGAGTGGAATATATCGCTGATATAAATGGGTTGATAAATAATTTTCAAAAAGAATAAAAAAAAAAACAACAACTACATACCTAACAAATATGTTGTAGTTTTATAAAGAGCTTCTGGAGTTCGAAGTAATTTAGGATCAGTTTTCTTGCTTCCAGCTGCTGATCGGACATACTCTTTAACACATTTAGCATAATCAGCTACTGGTGATTTTATGTTAGATCCTTGCACCATTTCAAGAAAATGGAGTCTTCCTTTTTTTTCCCTTTCTTTGATTTCTTGATGGGGACACATTGCTGTGCAAGAACCCTGTGCCATAACTTTTTCTATTAATATTTTTATTATTTTAAAAATACTTTTAAAAAAAGCACCGTAAAGTATTCTTTTTAAAACAAAATAAAAATAAGATGTAAAATAATTAAAAGTAACACACAAACAAACAACATTCATACAAATAAATAACATTCACTGAAAATTTATGGGTATTTCAAGACCTTTAAACATTAAACAGGTCTCTAATATTATATAAAAAAAGCACTTAAAAATTAAAAAAAGTTTATTTTCACAAGTCATTTTGAGAATGATTTAAAAAAATATATTTTCAAATAAACATGTATTATTTTTGAAACTTGTAAATAATTTCACTTAAGTTAAGAGCCAGGTTGACCAATTTTTGAAATTTTTTTTTTTTAATAATATTTGGAAGCTGTTAAAATGTTCGAAGGTGTTAAGGCACTTGCACTAATAACTTTTTGCTCAAAAACTTTTAAACTTACAGTAATTTTATTATGTGGAATATATTTAGGTCCTTTTGCTTTTTTGAATTACCCTAATATACATGAATGGAAGAACACACATCAAAAAATAATACATACACAAACAGCACATACAGCAAAAAAACACACATGCATAAAAAACACACAAAAAAACAAAAACATACACAAACAAATAACTTACCAAACAAACAACAAAACAAAATAAACATTAAACAACACACATACAAAAGGAAAAACCAAGGAACACAACAGTACACAAAAACAACATACAAGAGCAAAAAATACAAAAATAAACACACAAACAAAAAAGACAAAAACAAAACACACAAACAAACAAGTCAAAGTATATTGTTTATAGTATTAAAAAGTTCAGCAGAACATTATAGCTGTATTTTATGTTTATTTAAAAATTACATTATAGCTGTATTTTATGTTATATTCTTAAAGCTATTTTGTTTAGTAAATAATACTTTTGTATTATTTACTAAACAAAATATAACTGTAACAGGTGGATAAACAAATGTGCAACAGGTGAGATGAGTTTAAGAGAATAATTTATACATTATGTCAAACTGAATTTCAGGTTTTGGTTGCAATAAAAACAACTAAAAAATAAATTAAAGATAAGATATTTTATTTTAACATAAGCGTAAATGAAAAAAATAAAATTATAGATGGAATCATTATGGGTAACAAAAGAGCTCAAATTAAGAAGAACTTTCTCCAGAGTTTTTGATTTTCTTAAGAACTTCTTTATACTGCAATGCAGCTTCGGGGTTTTCACTTTCCCATTTTTCAGCAGTGTTTTCTTTTAACCAATTACTTTCTCGGACTTGGACCATAAAATCTGTTATTAGGTTATTAAGAGTCTCTCCACTGTTATTGTTTGTCTTGCCGGATTCTTTTAAATTTTCCATTGAACTATTGGTCAAGTATCAATATAATCATACATATATGGTTTTATCTATACATTTATGTGCTTTATCAATACATTTATAGGATAATAAGACTGAGCACAACATAAGCTCTAATTTTTCTGAAATCATTTTAACATTTAATGATGGAAAAATAATAATTGTTCAAACATTCAATAAATCAAAAAAAACAAACAAACAAACAAAAAAAACATTTAAATTATAAATACATTTATATTTTCTATAAAATTATCAAAATAAGTATATTAGACATTTTTTATCATAAAAATATAAAAAATACTAACATATTTCCATATATTAAAAGTAGCGTAATGTGACATAATGGCAATTTAAAAAAGAATAATAATTTACAACTTTGTTACCAGTCTCATAGAACAACAAAAGGCTATAATAATAGACACACATTAATTCATAACATCATCTCTCTTTCCATAAAAAAAAAAATTCTTAAAAACTTGGATAAATAACTTTTAATCAGTAAAAAAGATAAGATTGACAAAAATTTAGCAGTATATAAAACAAAATCATACAAATATTTTTGATTGCTTACTAAGCAGTAAGTGAACACTTAGTAATTTAAGAAAGTAACTGAAAAAATATTTTCAAAACTTCACAATCCTATTTTTTGGAAAGTGTAGATATCTGTATAATTCCTTTTTTTGTGCCACAAATGGCAATGGAGCGATTTGGCAAAGATGACCAGTCAAGGGTTGTCACTTCAGAACTTGGACACACAATGTGCATTGATTCATTAAAAAAATCATTATTTGTCTAAAAGATAATTTTAAAGCTGTAAAAATGTTCAACAATAATGATGTTACCTTTTTACAAATTTCAATTACCTCGTATATCATAAGTCCACTTGGCCCACATATCATTATATAATGGCCTTCAGAATGACAACACATAAGTCGACCACAAAAATAATCATCTTGTATTAATTGATCATGCTCATTTATTTCACTATAGTAGTGAAGGCCTGTACTTCCGGCTGGAAGAGGATACTCACTTAATTTTGTACTTACTTTATTAACAGCCCAAATACATAACTAAATAACAAATGTTTAAAATGTCAATAATACCATAAAGACAATACAGGGGAGAGAGACACAACAATAAAGTTTGGAAAATTAACCACAAAGACAATACGGGGGAGAGAGACACAACAATAAGTTTGGAAAATTCACACACACATGACCTATTATAGTGGCAGGCCTAGTAAACATATGGCTAAAAAAAAAACTGTAGCCAAGTTTAAATTTTACAAATTTCCAGTAATATTGCGCGTTTTAAAAAAAGTGGTTTTTAATTTAATATGTGATACATTTTAATTTTATGTATATTAAATTTGCTTTCTTTTTAGAGCTACATAATTAAATTTGAAGAATATGGTTTTTAAGTGTTGTGTCACTGGATGTAGAAGTAACTACAATGTTACAAAGTCTGTAAAAGTTTTTCGCCTTCCAAATAAAAAAAAATGTGGATGAACGAAAAAGATGGATAAGTGCTATACCTTGAGATAACATTTCAGATAGCCCAAATACTTTTATTTGTGAAGCTCATTGGCCTAATGACTTTGCAAAATGTTTTTGGGATGTTAAGACCAAAACATCCACCATCTGTATTTTCTTGTGTAAATCCAAGTCAAATTCTGACTCAACTTGCACCACCAAGACCAACTAATAAATGATTCCCATCTTTAAGAAGTACTTTGCCTGAAGAAATGGAAGCTTTTGCGAAAGCTGATAATATTTTTTCTTTCGAAGATTTGCGTAATAAAATAATGTCTAAAACTTTTTCCTACTCAATAATATCAAGTATCAATAAAAAATGTTTACATCTACAATCTGCTGATATATTGGACAACTTGGGTGTTCCAAAGTTTATTTTAAAAATAAAAAATGATTTATCCTTTGATAGCTATCACTGTGGTGTTAAGTGCACCGTAAAACCTTTTTCTTACAATCATATAAATATTATTGACTGTATTAGCCGTCTCCATGCTGCAATACACTATCTGAATTCTTTACCAATCGATCATAAGAAAAAAATTGTTATTGAACAGATATTAAGTATAAAATCAATGGTTATTGGGTAAAAAAAAGTATTCTCCTAATATCGTTGCTAGGGCATTTGAGTACTTTTCATTGTCAATAACTCTTTACTCTCAATTACATGATGACTACAAACTACCAAGTGTATCTTTGATGACAAAGTTGACATCTAAAGATAGAAATGTTGGAGTTAATGATTTTTTAAGGTTGTATTTTGAAAAATGTTCTATATCTCAAAGACAGGTTATTCTACTAATTGATGAAATTAATGTTAAACCACAGTTAACATATCAAGGAGGTAACATTTTTGTTAAATCTGTAAATTCCCTAAATGAGTTAGCAAAAACAATTTTGGGTTTAATGATTTGTTCTTTAATTGGCGGAAAACAGTTTTTGTATAAAGCATTACCAGTAACAGGTTTAGATGCTAATTTGCAATACGATCAACCAGTGTTAACAATTGAAGCGATAAAAAAATGTGGTGTTTCTGTTGTAGCTATTCTTTGCGACAATAACAAAATAAATAAATAATTTTTTGGAATGTTAAATCTCCCTAGTACTTGGTGTACTAATGATAACATTTTCCTTCAGTATGACTTTGTTCATTTAATAAAATCTATTCGCAACAATTAACTCACAGAAAAATCCCAAGAATTATGCTTTAATTACAAAGGTATTTCAAGAACTGCAAAATGGTCAGATCTTAAAAAACTTTCTATTTGAAAAAGATGCTATTGTGAAACTGTCTAAACTTAATGAAACAGCAGTTTTTCCTAAACCAATTGAACATCAAAATATGTCAACTTGTTTAAAGGGATCTTAAACTCCTAACACGTTGTGTTCATATTTAATATAATATTAAAAAAAAAGGTTTGAATTAAGTTTTTGTGATTAAAAATGAATAATGAATGCATACTGAGAAAAACTAATCTTGTTGTTTTAGCCAAAGCTCGTCTTCTCCATTTTACTAAAAAACTCTGAGTCATAAATTATACGTCGCAATCTACAGACTTCGACAATTCCTTTGAAGCGTGTTTAATTCATAAAAGTTTTAGTATTTGACGTAACGGTAGACCTTAGACAAATGAAACTCTGGAAAAATTTTTATTTATTTTTATTCATCATTTTTTTTATTATTTTTTTAGTTATTTATTTTCTACTTTGAAGATATTAAAAAACCTTAAATATTTTATGCTGGTTCTTTGCTATAAATTGTTATTGCGCTATAATGTTTATTTAATGTTGATAAATGATGAATATTTATTATATCAATCAATTCTAATAAAAAACTGTTTTATATTAATTACCTGTATAAAATTAGTAACAGCATTTTTAATTAGTCAGACAATATTTTGTCTGAACTTGCTTTGCATGAAGATCAGGATGTCAAAGGATCAAAATCTTAGTTTGAATAATCTTGTAGAAATATATTTAAAACAAATGATTTTAATGACGGGGGTACTAAAGTCTTTTTATAACAAATGTAGGTCAAAAATAAATAACTAAATAAAAAGTTCAACATTAAACATCTTTTTTTTTTTATTATATAGCAACTATAAATATTGAAATTTTAACTTGAACTAAATTTATTTATTATTAATTTATTATTATTTAACTACTAAGCAATAAATAAAAATCCCCTAAAATTATGCGATACTGTGATATTTATTTGATTATTGTTGTTTATGTCGTTCAAGTTGATTATTTTCATCAATATCAAAATAGTCTCAGATTGGTTGCTCTGCTTGTTGTTGATTTATTTCTAATTTAATTTAATTTTATCTTTAAGTTTATGTTAAATTTAATGTTCTCTTTAAATTTATATTAAATTTATGCTATCTTTAAATTCTATGTTAAAAAAGAAAAGTTTTTATTTCATCACTTACTCTTTTTATGATTAGAACAAAAGAGAAAGAAAAAGAAAAAAAAAGAGAAAGAAAGAAAAGTTTCACGTAGTTAAACTTTGAATGAATAAGAGTTGTATAAAATATTTTTTTTTGTGTCTCTCATTCTTTTTTTACATGAAAGAAATAAAATTTTAATTGTAATTTTTCTTTGAATAAATGGGACTTGGAAGAGAAAATCGCTTGAAAACTTGTATTTGTCAATTTTGTTAGTTTTTTAATTTTCCATGTTAAGAGATAAATGCCAAATACGATACATAAATTGGGAAATACCAAATATAATATGTTTTTTAATGCGTGTTACAACATTTTGACAATTTAAATTACTATCTTGAATTATTGCCATTAATTAATGTGTTAATTATTGCGTTATTTAATAATAACTTGTCCGTATTTTTGTTAAATATTAGTTGTATAAAACGGGCTAAAATATACGAGCTTCATGTTTTTAAATTGATGATTATAAAATATTGAACAGTAAACTTATAATCAAAATTTATAAAGCCGACTTGTGCTATTATTGGTTGTACTTGTAATGCAAAACCAGGATCTCACATATCTTTTCACGAATTTTCATATCTGATACTATTGTCAACTGTATTCTTTAGTGTATTCTTGTAGTTTTTTTTCATAACCTTAACAAGCTCTAATTGGTATGGAGTTGCCAACACTTTGAAAGTTTCGTTATTAAAAACTAAATGCAAAATTTAATGATATTTCCTTTTTTTTATTTAATTGAGCAAATTAAGCAATTTAAACTAAATCAGCGTAATCAAAATTTTTTCATTATAAAACAATTTAAACGTTCATCAAATATCTCTAATTAATACTGTCAGTTAATGAAAGTAATTGTTAAAACTTTTTTTAGGCAGGAAAAACAAAAAATGCGTAAAAATGATCTGAGAAGTTAGAAAATAGTTTAAATGAAAATAAGTAATATTCAGAATATATAATACTGCTCTCTCTTACACAAAAACAAGAGACTGTATATAGAATGTTCTATATAATGTAAAATACTTGTGTGAAAATCATAAGATTCATAAGTAAAGCTTTATTATTTGTTTTAATTTAAAAACAAAAGAAATGTAAGTAAGATATATAAATCTAAAAATTATTAAGATATCTGTAAAAAATAAGTTGCTCCTATAAAATAAAAATAATTTTTTTTTTTTAACAAAATTTTTTTTACGATGTTTGGAAAAATAATACAAATAAATTTGTTTTGCTGTATTTCAAAAAATACTACAACGTACTTATAGAATTTAAGTAGAAAAACGCATTGCATTTTTCTTTTGTCAAAAGTCTAACGTGACATCAAATACTAAAACTTTTATGGATTAAACGCGCTTCAAAGGAATTGCTGAAGTCTGTAGATTGTGACGTATAATTTAAAGACTCCAAATTTTTGAGTAAAATGGAGAAAGCAAGCTTTGGCTAAAACAACAAGATTATATTTTACCGGTATGCATTCATTATTTATTTTTAATCAAAAAAACTTGGTGCAAACCTTCTTTTTCAACATTATCTTTAATATGAGCACAACATGTGTTGGAAGTTTAGGATCTCTTTAAGAGTATTTTAAGATGAGACTGTAGCTGCTATAAAAACTCATCCATCCATTAAAAATGTTGAAAATTTTATCTATTTTTATCAACTTTTTTAAAATTGTTAATGTTGAAAGACTTATGGAGATATTTGTACTAGAAATAAATATTGCGCTGTTTTTTCATCAAACAATGATAAACGATTGAACTTTCCTTTAAATTTGGCTGCAATGGTCAAAAAAATGGCTTCTGAAAAACAAGGTCATAGACTAAAAAACTTAACAAAAGATACTTCTCGTGCTTTTTCCCATACATGTTGTGGGATGGTTGGACTAGTAAAACATTTACTAACTACAAGTCATAAGTATGTTTGCCTTGAACATTTTACAGTGACCCTATTGAGAAAGCATTTGAAAAACTTTGGCGAGGATCAGGTGGTACCTATTTTATAAATGTTTAGCAAATAATACAAAAAGTCAACATTAATAAAACAAAACTTTGTCTAAATCTTGGTATCACTGCTAATGATTTAGAAGTATCATCAAGCCAATCATCAAGCCAAGTAATTATGTATTGCAAAGGATATTTTGTTCAATGTGTTTTATAATCTTCCAGTTATTGAAAGCAATTTGTCTAAAGAAATTAAAATGTCTTTGGTTTACATTGCTGGCTATGTCAATAGGGAAGATTCTCCAGTTGAAGATACATCATTTTGTTTTGAGCAGTTTAGAGATTATGTCAGAGAGATTAATCGTAGTGGTTTGGCTGTACAGCTAATCGTAGTAGTTTGGCTGGAGATAACATTTGGCATTGGATATTTTATTCATACATTTTATTTCATCATTTTTACACTTTTGTCTGTCGTGTTAGCCTATCTAACTGTTTTTTGATGGTATCTAACTTTTATGGATTTACCAATGTTTCAAAAAAACATTGTAGAATCCTTGCCATTATATTTTTTAACAACTATTGCGATCTTCAAAGGAACCCAAAATGAAAATTTTAAAGTTATCTTAAATGTAGAATATATATATATATATATATATATATATATATATATATATATATATATATATATATATATATATATATATATTGATTAATTGTAGTTTTATTTAAAAAATTTTTTTTTAAAAACTCACATTAAGTTTTTAAATTTTTTTTTTTAAAAACTCACATTTTATTGTGCAAAAAAAGAGTTTTTTGCACAATAAAATGTGAGTTTTTACTATATTATACCTAATGAAATGTGCTTTGCATTTATTAAACATTTTTTTTTTCATTTTGGAGATTGAATTCATTTAATTGTTACAAAAATCATTGTTTATGACTTACATATAAATCATTGTTTATTAGAAATTAAAAAAAAAGCTGTATATTTCATAAAAAAAACCTGCCTACAGTTTTTATAAAACCCGTGTGTTTACTTGGCCTGTCACTTTAATAAGCCATGAACACACACACACACAAAAATTAGTATTTAAACATTTTTTGCATTTAAATAAAACTAAATCAATTACATTCAATTAAAAACCTAATTTCAAACTTTTAAAGTTTTCTGTGGTACAATGTTTTATTGTTAATAATAGATTAATAGTTGCTGCATCAACGTGATGTATGGAGCAACTATTTATATCTAATTGTTATACTTTTTGTTTTAAAAAAGTTATACTTGTTGTATTAAAAAACTATGACAAAAGCAAGTAATTTTTAAGTAAAGTTTTAATCATTTTTAATTTGTAAAAAAATTTCCATATTACAGAATAGTTATAGTTGCTGCATGTCTCTCATTGCAAAATAATAAAGCAATAATCAGGAGCTATTCTAGACCATTTTCGACAACGTTGACCATATTTGGGTACCACCCAATTTAAAATTTTTCGCGAAAAAACGCCTATATTTGGCAATATTTCAGCGAAATCTCTCCGGGATTAGGGGTACTGCCGCCCAAATTTTTTTTCCTAGAAGTGATATTGTGAGTGTATGTTTAACTTTTTGAGTAAAAAAAAAAACAAAAAAAAACAAAAAAAAAAAACAAAAAAAAAAAAAACATTTAGTTCCAAATAATCTTAGCAAAAATCATAAAAATAAAATATAGCAAGAGAATTTATAAGCATGGAAAGTATAAACAATCCATATTTGTTTAGCTGGGCAAAACTCTGAAACAAGCCACTTTATAAAAAGAAGCCGCTGTGCAAAAAAACAATTTGTTAAAAACATAAGAAGTTAAGATTTAGTTTATGTTAACAAGTAGGTATGAACTTAAAAAATATTTAAAAAAAATGATCTGCAGCTTAATTAAAACTAATATAATTTTAAAAAACTATTATTTAAATTTGATATTAAATAGAAAATGTCAAATGAAATATATATGTTCAATAGAAAAGCTGATACAGTAATTTTTACAAAATAATAAAAAAATAATAAAAAACAATAAATAAAAAATATATATTTAAGCTAGTTTACTCTCAATTATAATTAAAAATTTTTATTATGAATATTCCTTATATGTAAAACATATTTAAAATAGATTGTAAACAGCTTGGTATAGAAATTACAAACTAATGCAATATTGTTGAACTAATCTAATTTCAACTTTTGTATATCTATATACATGGTACATAATTTTATTGCATTTGATTAAATTTCAAATTGTTTTAATACTGAAAAAGTAACAAAATAATAGAAGATAATAATTGGAAAATATAAAATAATAACTATAACTGAGATAATAACTATAACTGAGATAATAACCTTTCCATCAATCCCTAAACTGTATACACAAGTCTCAGAAGGATTAAATATTACATCAACAATATCTGTAAAATGTGCATGCCAATTCATAAGACAATCACCGTTTCGAATATCTAAAAAATATATCAAATAATTAAAATATATTAGAATATAAATTTGACTTCACTATTACATAATAACGTTTTTGCTCTGCTGCCAATGGCAAGTCAGATATGATAGAGCTAGAGCTATAGAAAGTTGACCACTTATATATATAAGTATATATAAGTATATATATATATTTATATATATATATATATATATATATATATATATATATATATATATATATATATATATATATATATATATATATATATGGGGTGGTCCATAAATTACATCACACTTTAGGGGGGAGGGGTAGGCAATTTTGTGACGATTTGTTACAAGGGGGAGGAAGGGGGTATCCAATTTTGTAAAGCAACATTTTTTTTTTAAATCTAGAGAAGACTTTCTTTTAATTAAAAGAGTGACCAAACCACAACCCTCTGTTGATGTATCTACATGTTGATTGTAAACTTAACTGTGTCTAAATCTTACTTAATTGATGTGTACACTCTGTTATCAAATAGTTACAGCCTGTCAAAAATTACAGCTAGGTCTAAATTGTTATAATGCAACACAAGAGAGTAAGGGGGGGAGGGGAGGGTGTCGAAAAATGTCTAAAACTGCGTGATGAAATTTATGGACAACTCCTATATATACATACATACATACATGCATACATATATTGATATATATATATATATATATATATATATATATATATATATATATATATATATATAGTGCTCGAAGTGGGGCAGGATGCAGTAGGATGCCATCCTGTCAAGTCTTTTTATCACGAATAGAAAAGTTAAAAGTAAATTCTATATGATATTTACAATATAAAATATTTAAAGTCATAATATATTTTTAAAAAAGTACGTAAAATTTTGATTTTTTGATATTAATATTGATGACTTTTTAAACTGATATGAAAATATACTAAAATACTTATAAAAGTAAACAAAATCAAATTTCTTACCAAAGAGTCTAATAACACCATCAACACCTCCGGTTAACAAAAGCATTCCGTTGTGGTTGTAGGTTAAAGAATGAATACAAAATGGAAAAGGATCAACAGTTAAAATCCTCTAAAAAAAGAAATCAGACAAGTTCATCATTTAATATATATATATATATATATATATATATATATACACACATATATATATATATATACACATATACATATGTATATGTGTGTATATGTATGTATGTAACATATATATAAATATATATATATACAAATAACATATAAATATATATATATAACATATATATATATTTATATATATGTAACATATATATAAATATAAATATAAATATATATATATATATATAACATATATATATATTTATATATATGTAACATATATATAAATATAAATATAAATATAAATATATATATATATATATATATATATATATATATATATATATATATATATATATATATATATATATATATATATATATATATATATATATATATATATATATATATATATATAGATATAGGGTGTTAACCAGTTTTTCGATATTGGGAATAGTTATTGTTGTTGTTTTAAAAAATATTGGGAATTTTTAATAAAATTGTCTTTGTCCTTTGTCATAAAAAAAAAAAAAAAAAAAAAAAAGATCATTGAATTTTGGGAATTTTAAACCTATTGAGAATTCCGCGTTATACACAGTGCCACTGGGTTGGCTAACACCCTGATGTATATATATATATATATGTATATATATGTATATATATATATATATACACATATATATATGCATATATATATGCATACATATATATACTACATTCATATATATATATAAATGTAACAGATACACACTGTCATGATATCATGGTATAAATAAATAGCTGCGGACGCTTCAGTACATACATTAACTAATTTTCAAAGTAAAACATGCAAGGAAGTGCCATTACATTTTTTCGTTGATCTTAATTTTTTTCTTCTTTGTCTGAAAAATTAAAGTGGACATTATAAGAAAAAAAGTGCACAAAAAAGATTAGAAAATTGCGTCCTTAGATACATATTATCAGTTGTATATATATATTTTTTTGCATGGTCATCTGTTTAAAACAAAGCTCTTAGTCGATGTATGTACACTATTTGGATATCCTCAATATAAATATAAAGTCAATATAAATTAAAACAAAGTTAAAATAACAAAATATGAAGTTAAAATAAGAGATAAAAAAACAATATGAATAAAAAACATTACAAATAATAACTATAATAACTTTAATAAAAATAACAAATAATAACTTTAATAAAAATTATAACTAATGATAAAAAAAAAAGTAAAATTTATAACTATGACAGTAATTATAAAAATAAACATAACAATCACAAATATTATAACAATAACTATTAAACTATTATTACAATGGAATTACTATCACTATTATTATAAATAATATTAATAAGGCATCTAAAACAAAAATATAAAAATGATAATAATAGTAATAAAGTTAAAAAAAATAATATAAAATGAAAATAATAATAATTTTATATTAAAGCAATAATAGTAAAAGATAAAATTAATATTTATTAGTAGGGATGGCAAAAAAACCCAAACATTTTCAATCCCGGGAATTCGGGATTGAGAAAATAGTCCCCGGGAAATCCCAGGATTGAATAAAAAAAAAAAACGCAATTGTAGAAAGTGAATTTAAAGAAGAACTGATTTTTTAAGTTAAACACAAAAAAATTATAAATTTAACTATAATATATAACAACTAAAATACTTCATTTATTAGTGAACCTAAGTAATTTAAACTATAAAACAATACCTTAAAATGATAATACAGTATAAATAAAAAATAATAATAGAAAAATTAATATAAATATGCATAAATATACATAAGTTATATTTATTTTCGAAAGTCACACACTAAAAAATTAAAGCATCAATCATTTCATCACATAACCACATTCGATTTTTTGAACATAAACACCCAGCAGCTGAGAATGCTGTTTCGGACTCCACACTTGTTGGCCATATAGAGAGTATATAATTATACATTTTTAAAGGTGATCATATCTTAAGTTACAATTGCAAACAACAGCATTCTTTTTGAACTTTAAAAGTTATAATTTCTACCCTTATAGATAGTATTCACATTGCTGCCATCTTTTTTCCACAACTTGATTTAATTGTTCACTAATTGTGTTGACATTCGTGGCTGAAAAAGCCTGGTTCAACTGAACATAACTATCACTACTTAAGTCTGCTGCTGTTATTATATTTGCCATGTTAAAACATTTTATCAGGTTTATCATAATTGTATTTGGTACAAAAACCTCTGGTTTTTGTACCTAATACAATTATGATTTTTTATGAAGTAACCTGGCCATGAAGATATACTAAGCTCCTTAATAGTGTTCTCCTCTTTTCAGTGACTCAAAGCATCATACAATTGTTTTCTGATTTCAGTGACTCAAAGCATCATATAATTGTTTTCTGATTTCAGTGACTCAAAGCATCATACAATTGTTTTTTGATTTTAGTGACTCAAAGCATCATACAATTGTTTTTTGATTTCAGTGACTCAAAGCATCATACAATTGTTTTTTGATTTCAGTGACTCAAAGCATCATACAATTGTTTTTTGATTTCAGTGACTCAAAGCATCATACAATTGTTTTCTGATTTCAGTGACTCAAAGCATCATACAATTATAGAAGTCAAAAATATAGAAGTGCCTTTTTAACAAATAACTTTTTAATTTTAACTTCAAAAATTGTTTTAGCATAAAAAGCTAACATAACAAGCTGCTCCATCGGTTTTTACCAGGGGCGTGGAGGCGCAAAAATAAAGTAAGAAAATCGACTCCAATCGTTGAAATTTTCAAAGTACAACTCCAACTCCAAAGCAAAATTTTTGAAAAATTCTTTGAATTCTTTAAAAAATAAGACGCAATAATTTAAGACTTTTTTTGCCAAATATATAAAAAATTCTTTAAAGGTTAACTATTTTGTACATGTATCGGCAATACAGAGAAGTTTTATTATTGGAGTTAGAGTTGCAATTTTGTTAAGCAACTCCGACTCCACAGCCCTGGTTTTTACAATCCATGATTAAATGGATGAACTTTCCAAACTCAATTTTTATGTACTGTAACAATTTTCTTTTTTGTTTGCAAATAAAAAACAAATGAATTTATTCAAACAATTTGATTTTATTAACCATGATAACATCAAGTAGAATACTAGAAACTTTTTAAACTTCAAAGTGTCATTTTTCAGCAATTAACAAGCATTGCAATAACAATATCAAAAGCATCAAAAAAATTTAATGGTCTAATTTTACTAAAAACATCAACTCAATTATAGCACATACAATTATCAATAACATTAAGTTTGATTTATTTATTCATGTCATGATAAGAAGCTAACACTCTCTGATTGCTTGGAGGGGGCATCTGAGCTTGAAAAGAATCTCACTTTTGCTACAGCATGGGCCTCACAGTGGCTGGTGAAATTTAATTCAGATAAGACCCAATTTTTTTCAGCCAATTATTACCGCAATAATTTAGATCTTCCTATATTTATGAACGGTAATGAACTCATCTACCCTTGTATGACTCATACAGGTTGATGAGGTAATGTACTTATCTACCTGTATGAGTTATCTACCCTTAATCTTCTAGGACTAACTCTTACTTCCAATTTTTCTTGGAATCCATATATCAAATCCATTGCAAAATTAGCACCTGCTAGGGTTATATTGTGCTCGACACTTTCTTACTCTGGATTCTATTCTTTATCTTTATAAATCTCAAATCTGTCCTTGTATGGAATACTGTAGCCATATGGGGTGGATCTTCTAACGATGCCCTTTCTTTTTTAAACAAGGTGCAAAAATGTATTGTAAACATAGTTGGACTTGTTTTTGCAGCCAACTTTTCTACAAATACTATAATGGGCACTGCTCTAAAGAGCTAGCATTTCCTCTTTCATCTACTAAAATTCATTCTCATGTGACTTGTCATTCAATTAAGTCTCATCCTTTTTCTGTGACTGTTCCCAAGGGCTCCAAAAACTCTTATTTGTCTTGTTTTTTTCCTCGAACATCAGTTCTTTGGAATTCGCTTCCTTTATCTTGCTTTCCTTATTCATTTAATTTGCAATCTTTTAAGTCTGCTGTCAACCGTTATCTTGCTCTACAAATTTCATCTTTCCTCTTCCAGTAACTTCCAACTCTTATAGTGGTTGCTTGCAGCCTCGTTGGAAGCAAAGATGGGAAGAAAAAAAAAAAAAAATACAAGTAGTCAATATAAACAGAATAACTATATTGACTTTTATGTAAGCAAAAAAATTAGAAAAAAAGAAAGACTAAACGTTATTTAAACCTTTTAACATTATTCTGTATTTATAATAATTTATTATAATACTTGTATCATATTAAAAACACTTCTGCTCACATGGTAAAAGACATATAGTCCATAGAATAGAAGTTAAGTAAATATATTAATTGGTTCCAGTGAGAAAAACATTGATTTTTCATGGAAAGCTTGCCATAATTGACAGTGTTGTAAAAGGAAGGGTGCAAATAAGCATTTCCAGTATTTCAAGTGTAATATTTATGCGCATTAACTTTTTAAATAAAAAAAACTGTTAAGTGAATTAGGTAGATTATTTTGGAGAAAACCTTCACTAGATCTTAACATTTTGGAACTTTTAATTCAAAAAACCTAATTTGGATATTAGATTGCCAAGGTGAGAATGTCACAATTCTTATGGAAATACGTTGTAAACTTTTTATACAATTTAATAGGAATCTCTTTTGACCCCAAACAATGCAACAATAGCTTAGATAGGATGAGAACAAGGAATAGTAAATTGATATTAGAATATGTTGGGGAATATGTTGGGGAATATAGTATCGTATTAATGACATTAATTGATAGTACCATGATAGGTTTTTGTCAAAAAATACCCTGAGATACTTTAAATATTTAGATGGGAAAAGTCTTTTACTATCAATTCTAATTTTCACATTATCATTATTAATTTTTTTTTTTGGAGGTGAAAAATAATAAGTTTTATTTATATTTAAAGAAATACAGTTA